AGGAGCTGAATTCAGGTGAAAAAAGAAGGTTGCAATGGAGAACAGGACATAGAATTCACCTCAGCAATGCATTCTGTTTCCATGACACAAATTCATTGAGAAAAGGAGCTCATGGACTTACTGTTGAAATCAGACTCTCAGAACAGCAACACTTAAACCCAATATTGACCGTGTTGCTGGCACTGACTGGGAACATCCCCTCAGTGACCAACAATCTGCCCTCAGCTGTGACCTTTTGTTTCTTTTATTTAGGAATCCAACATTTCTGGCATGCATCCATCAGCCCTTTGAAAACTTCAGAAGGAACAACATTTCTGCCCTCTACTTTGGTTTCCTACAGACCCTTAGAGCAGGCTCAATTTTTGTCTTTAAGGCATCCTGTGGCCTGGTTTCTGGCTTCAAAACTTCTTATAAATTAGCTCCTCAGGCATGAAAGATTGCAAAGCACAAGCAGCAGAAAGAACATCTATCCAGGGTAGAGGTTCTTTACAGGCCAGTCCCAAACTGGAACAAAAGACCAGCCCTACCATTTTCAAAAAAGCTGAAAATATATTTACCTAAAACAACAGAAAATATGAACCAATATAAATCAAAACCTGACAAGAGAGGAATTAGTTACAATGAAGGTAAAACAACTTAGGCATAACATTTGGCACAAAACTCCCAGGAATAAGAGTATTATGCCAAAAGCTGGGAAATAAACCATATAAAGCACAATGCAAAAGAAAAGGAATCTCTCACTTTCTCAACATCCCTCTCTTGGTAGCGCTGTGAGTTTTCAGGCTCACGCTGGAAGCATGAAGATGTAAGGAGAAGGTAAAGTCATACAACAGGAAGCCAAACTTAGACCATGAGTTGTGTTCTTCAAAGGGTGTGTTTCATAAGGAGCTATAAATCTGGCACAAATTTTATTTTTACCACTTATTGCCATCTCAACAACATATGCACAAAATTTTCTGGGTTCAACCCTATATATACTGAGAGAAAGAAGAACAGTTATGAAGTCACCTTGAAAACTATTGTTAGGTTTCCTTATTTTCCCCTATAAATGCTATGAATTAATTTAAGAGATTATATTTCAGTCCTTTTTTTGTGTCCAACACTTTCATGTCACTTTTTATTGGCATTGAGCAGCAATTGAGCACTAAAGAACTTCTGTTTACCTGTAGATACCCAGTTTCTCTTTCCTCTGGTTACTATTGACTCCAGACTTACTTGTGCTGACAGACAATCTGCCATTCATAGTGCACGTTGAGTATTCTCTGAGCTCAGCTGGCTCACAGAGAGAAGTTAAAGAGAAGCTGATGATACGAACAAACTGAAAAGGACAGCAAAGCATAACAAAAAAACCAGAAAAATAGTCTCTACTGTCATTTTCTCTGAGTGAAGGAAAACACCTGGGATTAGCAAGAGGATGGACACGAAGCAAACATGGCAGGGATGGGGAGGGAAAATTCTAGAATTGATTCTATTCCCATTGTCTATGGTAATAACAAGAAACATTGATTTAAAAACAATTCCAATATCTTCTAGTAAATTGCTTTTGTTTTCCTGTGATAATATTGCAATCTTCTTGGGAAGAATCCCAATAACCCCATGAATGTATCAGACATTACGTTCAGAAAGCACATAAACCTCAAATACACACAGTTGTTCATCCTCCAGTCTTGCTGGATGGATTTGGTTCAGTCAATTCTCCCAGTTCAACATTCACATGTGATCCCACACAACCCTCATTTTAACTGGGAAAAGAGCTCTGCCAGTGGCAGAGAAGGCACACACACCCTTGTCAGTTGGCTGAAGTGCTTAAGTCTCACAAAAAGGGACTCTGCTGGATGCACAGCCAGTGCACTTTTCTGGGTAAAAGATTTTATCCTTTCACTACAGTCCTGTTCACCTGTAAACATTCAAATGTTCTTTGCAACCTGTATAAGTTTTCCCTCCCAACAAAGGGAAGCAGTTCTTTATTTCATATCAGTTCATTACAAATGTCAAAACACAAAGCAACACCCATTAAGAGGTTTTGCTCTGCACAATTTTTTCAGAGGTCAGCCCAACCCAAGCTCCACTGATGCTGCTTTACCATCAAGCCTCTTGTTCTTATTCACCCTGCTACTTTTCAGTGAAGTGCTATGAAATGCCTTGTCAGGGTCCTGAAAGGAAGCATAAAGGAGGTGATTTCTGCATGGATACACAGGCTCCATGCTGCAGCACTGCAGCTTCAGAGCATCTGCCCTCAGGGTAGGACCTGCTCTTCTTTGGTTCATACAATGGTGCTGCCCACACCACCAGCACAAGACAAAATAAACTTGCTTCTGAGTACTGCCCCCCAAAAATCTGCTCTTCTCTTGCAAGATTTTCTGCTTTTTGCAGTATGTATTTAATCCAGACACCTCCACGCAGACTGCTGTGTGTGGGAACACAACTGCCAAGGATCTGCTCGTGCCTCAAGAGGGATTACAGGTAGGAAAAACATGACAATGGAAAATGCAGGTGAAGGGGGGTTTTGGAGGAAGAAGAATTGAAGAGAAAGCTGGGCTTATGCTACAAAGGAAGACTCAAGATAGAATAATTCCTTTTTTATACAATACCTTTCTCCTAGCTCTGCTGTTTGCCAGCACTGTAACGAGAAGGGAGATGAATTTCACCCTGAGATGTCTGACAGCACACTAATAGAGAAAGATCCAGGGCATGCTGGATTCAGATTCAGACACCAGAACTGTAATCAAAAGAAAGGACTGTTCTTGCTTCAGGCTCTGAATTAATTCCCCTTTTCTGTCACTTAAATTACTGTTGTTTTTCTTAAATTGTGCATACACACGGATATTAGCTAAAACTAAACAAATAAGGACTGGCTCCAAAGGCCATTCCTGCAAGATGTCTGTCAGTTGAATATCAAATAATTCTGGTTGCCAATGACTCAGACAAAAACTATGTGCACTGAGGACATGAGAAAAGAATAAATTACCTTAGACTTGAAAAAAGAAACAGCTGACTTTTCCACTTCAGACACCTTACCTGACCTCTGCAGAAGTCTGGCAAGATTGACCTGTCTTTTTAAGGTCCACTCTGGAAACCAGAATAGTCAGTGACCTTTTTTACTGGGAAGTATAAAGTCCATTTCTGCAATTACTTTTAAAACTATATAGTTGTAAACACACACACAGACACACAATGTGTTTTATCCGGGTAGCTTTTAAAATGTTGCCACTCCATTAGGTTGTAATAGCTTTGTCAAATGAGCCAAGTCTTGTGCCTCTTGGTAACAAACCTCTCTAAAGTTGGAAAACATTCTAATGAGCATATCACATCAAAAGCCTGCACAGTGCTAAATTAACATAATGTGATAAGATACAATGTGACACAACATCTTCATAAACTTAAGCATGTCAGAAAACAAAATATCTTTCTATCAGCTTATTCTGAATCTAATCCATATTTAATCACTCAAATCACTAGCCAGCAACTTTGAAAGTTTATTTAATACCACCATCACCAATTGTCTACAGTGACCCAATTAGAACTGTAGAAACAAGGGTAGCAAAACACCAAGACAGAGATGTTCAGGTCTTCAGAAACTCTCCACGAGTTAATTAAAATCCTGGTTTGGGGGTTTGGCATTACTTTATCAAGAGCAGAATGAATACTTCAGTGATTATTGTGGGCAACAAAAGTTAAGCAGATTTCTTTCTTTAAAAAAGCCATTTTTCCTCTCTGTAAAAGACAATGCAATATACAGAATCAGCACGATAATACAACTTACCAAAATCAGAAATACTGTAGGTGATGATTCTGTGGAACAAAATACTTGAAGCGTGGCTGAACTCAATGAACACCTACAGCAAGGCCAGGATCTGAAAGATATTGCTGCAACTGTGACTGGAATACACTTTTTTTCCAGTTAAAAATATTTTTGCTGGAATAAGAATCTCCATGGTATTTTAGTAATTCTAATTTTAATCTAAACAAATGCTGGGTAGCAGAAAGGTATGAGTATAACCCCTGCAAAAATAAAGAAAATAAGAAATATTTTGCCATTTGTTACCTTCAATGCTTTTCAACAGATTTTCACAGCAGAGAACCTTTCTGGACTTTAGATACAGTCTGTCAGACCTCCATGTGTTTTAAGTACTTATGCTTGGTATCAAGGGGGGGAAAAATAATCTTTATATTCTCAGATATGTGGAAAGTAAGGCACTTCTCCACCTAACAACAGATACATGCACATACAAATACAGAGCTTTTGCTTCCAATGCAAGTTCTTTCAGGCAAAAAACCCAAATCATTTCCTGAGCATCATATGTCCTTTTTCTGAAGCACCAAGTCCTCAGCTATCCTGAACAGTGCTGCCATAGCCCACACAGTGACCAGCTCAGATCCTGTTCAAATGGACAGAGCTGCAATTCCAGTCAAGGAACTGATTATCTATAACTCCATAAACCAGCAACAGCCCAAAAGGGTGTTGTTTATCATTTGAGAGAATGTAGCACAGGATTAAAGAACCTTCAAATACAATCAATTTTACTAAAATTCAATTGAGTGGCAGAGGTATTTTCATCTATCTTCATGACTGTGCTTATCAGCAGTGCTAATAATAGTGTTTGTTTAACTAAAGTAGTGTATTTTAAAGAGCATAGTTTGAAGAACAGCAACCCCTGTGAAACCACAGAGTTCTCCATTTCAGGCATGGTCTTTTCCACGTTGCTTAACCAGTATGTGGTCACCGTTTCAATCCCTCTCAAATTTCAAGAGTAAATCAAATTAAGGGGAACAAATTGGCCCCAGCTCTTTGAGGTCTAATTTATACACAACCTTGTTTAAAACCTGCTTGCAAATTAAGTATTATTATTTGGAGAGGGGGAAGCTCTGTTTGGAACAAAGCAGTTAACAGTTCCTTCATTGGCATGTTCTGGTTTTTTCCCCCAGTGCTTGCCCAAAAACAAATCTTCTTGTTTAATTCTAGAAACAATGAGATTCACTTACCTTTAGCAGATACATGTAGGGAAATTGCAGGGGGGCAATGAGGGGCAGGGCAATCAGATTTTAAGTGAAACAATTTGTTTTTTTCAAAATTCAAAATTAAATACTCTGTCAACTCTTCCTAGAGAATAAAAAAATGGACAATTATGTTTCATCATATTATTTTAAAGGACTTCTCAATGAAGAAGTATTGAATAAAAGTGTTCTAAGCATCACTTAAATGTTTCACCTAGAAATATTTAAGACCAAACAACTTCAACTGAGGGGGAAGGAAGTGTCAAATCTATGATAAATCATTTGGGCTCTGACAAAAAAAGTTCTATTGGCAGAAGAGCTTTGCTCTTCCTCTAGTGATGGTAAAGAGGTGGAACTGGGGGTTAAACAAAGCATTTTGGATTTCCACTGATCCTCCCAGTCCTTGATATGTGACTTCTTGGACTTGCACACCACTGCAATAATTTTTCACTCTACTGCCCTCTGCAATCCTGGCTTTGAAAACAGCACCTGTGAGAAGTGCAGTGACACCCTGTTACCTTGGCACTGTGGGACTGACAGGCTGCAGAACAGGACACTTGCTGAGCTCTCCCAGTTGATGCACTTTACAGGGTGCAGAATTCTCAGCAGGTTAGCTAACTCTTTGTAGACCTACTAAAAACAAATTTTTGGAAACATTGTGCTAGTGTACTTTTTCTCTTCATAAAGATTAAGGGATTGGAAGAGAAAGTGAGCTTTTAAACAGCTTTTCTGGGTTTAATCTCCCAAGTACTTTTACCAAAGGTACATTGTGATCAAGTAGGTTAATCTGCATCATTTTATTGGACAATGTATTTGCATTTATCAAAATCCTGCATTTTTTATTTTTGGGAATTCTGGCTGTTGCCCTCCTGAACTATTTGAAAAAGAGGTGACAGAACCTGAGCACACCTTTCAGAAACATAGGTAATACACAGGCTTGCAGAGGTGACTGGAGAGCAACTCCTGGGAGGGAGGGAGGAAGAAGGAGACGTCTGAAAGCAAGAAAAAAACAAACCTGAAACACATCATCAGGTTTGCAAGAGAGTAAACCCCTAAATTTGATGGGAAGAGGACTCAACAAGAGACCAAAGGTGATTTTGAAGGTGGCAACAACACCTCCTTCCACTCTTGGATGGCTCCTTCCCCTCTCACCTAAGGCACAGGATTTCTCCTCAGGCAGCCACTTGTCCCTGCCACTGAATAACAGTCCCCATTCGTGTCTCCATTCCTTGGGGCAGGCTGGGATCTTCCCTTTTACCTCCCCATCCCAGGAGAGAGCACGCTCCTGCAAAGCCAGCACAGGGACAGCTGCAGAGGATGCACGTGCTCACAAACAGCCCCAGACACGCAGGTCTCCTGCCTGCTCTCCCAAGAGGAATAGCTGGGCAGGAGGCAGGAGCAGCCTCCTCAGCCAGAAGCAGCCAGTCATCCCTCTGGCACAAACCAAGCTCCCTTCAGTTTGCCAGCTCAGGCAGCTGTTTGGCAGCCAGATCCCTTGCAATGTAAAGAAGGGATGAAATAAACCATTCTTCTGACATATAGAACCTGCCTGAGGTGGCGTTTTAATGAACAAAATAGAGGAGCTAAGTCTTCCAATACTGGATAAACATTAACATTATAAGAACTGAGTTGTAAATAAAGCACATTTCTCTTCCTGGTGCACCGAAGAGGTGAGTGTGTGAGTGTCCTGTTCCAAAACAACCTGTATCTATACAGCCTGACAATCTTCACCCACATGCTCCCCTGTCCCCCAGCTCATGAACTTGCTTTTGTTTCCCAAGCACGGCAGACTTGGTACAATTTCCCAGGTGCAAAGCCCACTGGCACAGCAGATGATTTTCTAACAGCAACAACTTTAAACTTCACCAGCACAAACACAGCTGGCCTGAGCCCAGCTTAAATCAGGCTGGTCTGCAACCAGCAGCACGAAAAGGTTCTCACAACTGCCCTGCACTATCAGCTTCCCCAGCCTCTTTCACAAACTGATTTTCAGGATCTACATTTACTAAATCCATACAAAGCCTGTTGCTTTGCCATGCCTTGTTATGTGTGACAGTTTTCTGCTGCATCCTTACAGACCACAGGTACCTTGGGGACGGCTGATGGATCCTTGAGCAGACAGCCTGGGAAGTTTGTAAGGACGGTGAGCTGCACATTTCCCCAGTGACTGTTCTATCCAGACTATTCAATAGTGGAAAATACTGTAACCACAGCTGATTGTACAGTGAAGGCTCTGGCCTTCAAAACTTTTAAAACAAAAAGTGTTTCAAAAACCTGACAAGAGATTAGATTTGCAATTACAATCCAGGAGAAACATCCCTTGTGCACTTCTCTAAGTTCCACACTTCCAAAGTCTCTAAGTAACAAAAGCTAAGGAATCCTTTGCCAGCTAAGCATCATCTCAGTCTACTTCACTTTTGTCCAATAATTTCTGGTCTTTAATATCCAACTATGAATCCCCTTCAGCTGATTTCCCCTTACTCTAAATCTCTCAAGTAGAGAAGCATCATAATAATACATATTTCTATCTATTTCCTTTCTTTCTCCTGAATAATATCACCTTGTTTTACCTAGAAACAGACTTATTTTTTCAAATAAACGAATAAAAGAAAGTTTTAAGGCCAGTAAAAAACACAGTTTACCTAAAAGCATGAAAGAACCACGGGATGAAAGAAAGTCAGAAAACTCAACACAGTTATTCTAAAATTCTCTATTTCCTGAGGTAAAAGTTAGGTTTGAAGTTTGTTCTCTTTCACACTCAACTGAATTATCTGAAGTTAATTTCTAAGATAAAGATTACAATACTAAATTGGTTTTTTTTGCATCACAAAGCCTTGCTCTCAAACTGTTAAGTACGCAAGCAATTGTTTTCTAAAAGAATAGTCAATGATCATATGGTAATTTTTCCACTGAAATCACCTAGAGAAGCAGTTCAAGAAGCAAAAATATTTGCAGGGTCAAGCCCTAAACTAAAGAAAAAAAAGTTATATACAAAGCATCTTTTAGAAATTCATTGTAGATGGAGGAAAAACAAATGACTTTATTTGTTGTTTTAACAAGCATGTTAATGTTTTTGCATCACGTACAAGAAATAAGTCATGACAACCTCCACCTACGTGATCTCATTTCACATTTGCTGTTGATGACAGAAACCCAGCATTCCCGCTCATAACGTTACACCCTGTGATGTAGTGGCAGTTTTGAGCAAATAATGACAATGTGGAGAACACCCAAAGCACAGCGGAGCTGACAGCAGTGCGGATGTGCATTGGGAATGTGGAAGCTGTGCTGTTTGTGGGACTAGGTTTGTATCAGTGCTCCCTGAGCCACATGTGCACAATCACATCCCCACCAGGCATGGAAAAACTCAGTCTCAGAAGTACAGCTTTCACATTCACCAGGCGATCCTGGAAGGATAAAGCTAATTCCCAGCAAAAATCTTGTCAGAGATGGAATATACATAGTGTAGTTAGAGGAGACCATTCTTGTATTTCCTACATGGGATTTACTCATGAAGTTGAGAGCTGTTTCTTCACCTCCACTGGGATTCTATGTAGAGTCGATATCTTACAGGTTTAAAAAAAAAAGAAAAAGAAAGAGGAAGGAGAAAGTTCACTGATCTTGGCAGCAAAAACTCATACAAAGATTGAATTTGAGGAATGAAAACCATTCTTCTTGACAAAGGACGTAAATGGTTCCTAACCACTACACAAGAGTTGTATGTGTCAGATTTGTTAATTTGTGAGATTCTGGTTCTGCATAGGAATTACATTTCCCATATAGACTTCCCTCAGTGTTTTTACATAAACTTGTCTTAGTTCTTTCCTGATTTTCCTCAAGCTTGGCTAAGCCAGAGCCCTTATCAATCCAGACAGCACATCACAATGATCTGACTCCTACCAGTTTTCTTTACAAGAAAGGAGAATCAGCTGATATTTCCTGACCACTGAAGGACCAAATGGCTCCTACATGTTTCAGGTCAACACGCACAGGCAGCTCACCCTGCTGGCAGCTGTCACTGAGCAGGGGACTTCTACTGCAAAGTACCTTCAGAAGCCGGGGGCTCTGTTCCCAAAGCTCTCTGGGTCCCAGGACAGGGCTCACGCTGGAAGTGCAGGGAGGATGGAGCTCTGTCCTTGCCTGAAAAGAACACAAACTGTAGTGGAACTCAGTCCCATAACCAGCATTTCCTGAGCAAGGGGACTAAGTCCAGCTGCGTACACTAGAGAAAAAAAACACTTGGGAGACAAAGTCAGTCATGCTGTTATCCTGAAGTAGGGGGGTGGAACTTCACAGATACAACAGCCACAGTTTAAGAATTTAGATATCTTACTGTAATTTTTTACTCTGTACTTACTCCTTTGCAAACAAGGAAGATTTCACAATGTAAACATATGGTTTGCATGTCTTACCCAGACTCTGAATTTTGGGTTGTCACTCATAAGAATTTTTTTTACCTGTTGCATCTTAATTCACTTAGAATTTGGAAAAGCTGCTCTGCTCACATTGGCATCTACACAAGTTTGAGGTCATTTCAAAGTTCCATCAAATTAGCACTTAAAAGCACTGTTGGCTTTAACCTAGTTTTGAACCATCCCAAATAGCTCTCAATTTAACCAAATGCCAAAGCAGTGTGATGAAGTGGGTCTTATGACTCTCTAACTGTGCCTTATAGAGTGCCTAAAACAGCACATTTATTTGCCAGATCTCCAGACCAGCCCTGGATTTTATTTTATATTCATCCTGGGGTTTTAGTGGAAGAATCCAGAATAGGATCTGGAGAGCTACCATTGTGGGTGTGCCAACATAACCCAAATCTCAGTACCTTACATGACTGCTGCACAGCACTCACCTTCTGATTCCTGCTTATAATCAAGAAGAAACATCAGCATTTCATCATCATTTTGCAAAGAGTATAAAAGGTTAATGGTCAGATTTAGCAGAGAACAATTATACCACTCTAAGAGATTTTTTCATTATAGGTGCTCTGAGTGACAGTATTTCATAAGATGTGCAAAGTATGACTCAAAACCCTGAACACCAACTTAATTTGAAGTGTCTAGATGAAAAATCCAACCGACAAGTGCCATTCATCCCAAACAAATATCTTTCACACTGTTAAGCAAATGAAAAGATAGTAAAGCAAAATGGAATTTAAAGTGTTTTTGCTTCCCATTCTAGTGAAGCACAACATCTGAATCCCACTTCTGCTCTCTCCACAACTTCTGCTAATATACCATTGATCAGGCACTCCAAATAAGTTTAATTAGTTGCAAGTAATACACTCATTCACATTTTTTCTTCTTGGTTGCTGTTCATTTGGTCTTCAATATACTATGCAATATGAAATTGCCAAGATATTATTTAACACTTATACCATAGAGAGAGGTGCATTAGAAAAGAGAGCTTTTCAGAACTGACTTGATTTTCATGGGAAAAAAAACGTGGTTGCAAGAAAATTGAATAGGGAAGGGAAAATATTTCAGAAGGATTACCTTTCCCCACATCAGGCCAAGTCCTCAGTGGATACAAATCACTGGGGCTCTATTTCAATCAACAAAGCCGGTTCAGAAATTGGCCTTTTTCTCTCTCCAAATACCTCCTGCAGCTGTATGTTTGACTTTTTCAGATCTCCTTCTTCAAATTCAGCATTAAGAAAAAGCTCAGGGAATCCATTTGAATTTAGCTCACACTCAGGGTATTTTAGTGGATCTCAACCGCTAAAGCTGCATGAGGGAGAGTTAAAAAAGAAAAAGAAAAAAAAAGTTCTTTTACAGAGACTCAGAAGCTGGGTCTAGATGCCTTTTGAGTTTGAAGAAATCAGAAATGGATGTCTGGGCTCTGATACTCCCATAGCACGTCCAGTATTTTCAGCAACCATCCCACCCACAGACAACAAGATTCCAAGGAGTTAGATCCTGTGCCTCAGGAAACACTGTGGTGTCAACAGGAGTGGGTGTGGCTGAGTGGCTTTTGTGACAGCCATGGAGCTGAGGAAGATGTGAAAGAGTGGGGTTAAACCTCATTTAAAAAGATGAGAAGCAGGAACGTCCCCATCTCTTTGAATATCTTTTACTCAGAAAGAACAGCTGAAACTGCTGTGCTCTCCTCTAGTGCTGTCAGTCCCACTGCTGTGTGTGCCCAGGATATGACTGATGCACCCTGACACAACATATCAAAATGCCAAAAAAATTTGAAGCATAGTAGTATCTTTCTCATTAACAATGTGACAAGATCATGTTATTTTGAAGTGTCATGATCTTTTGGGGGAAAAGATTGTAACATTCAGATGAACTTTTTTTTAACTTATGAACCAATAATTATGAAATTGGGCAGCAGCATGAAAGTGACCATCTTTTCATCTGATTACCCCACACCTCCAACACAGACTATGATCAAGAAAATAAATCCTTACATAATCCACATTCTCAATTATTCTCAGAAAATAGCATGAAAACAAAGTAGGAAATCTGCTGGGGTACTGAGGACTGGGGCAGTGGGATTTCTGGGGGGAAAAAAGGCTCTCTTGCAGCCAGAAAAAAGCACATAGAAACATCTAGGTTATTGTTTCAAAGCCATAATAGTATTTGGGGTTTCCTAGAGGGTTAGTTTACCAGCATGCAACCTGAGACTCTTGATTTGTACAAGCTACCTAACAAGGTATTCTTAAACATATTAACAAGTTCACTCTACAAAACTCTCTGAAAATGAAACAGGGCTTATCAAACGTCCATACCTTCACATTGATATCAAAGACCAAGAAATGAGACTGCCAGACTGAATATTTTTCTAGTAGCTTTGCTTCTGTAGTGGGTAGTCGAGTCTTGCACATTTATGATTGTAATTTTTATGATTCTCATTTGAAAACTAATGAGACAATCACTCTGGGTCCAATACCAATACATCAATAACATGAGAAAACACAAAAGCCCATAAATACTGGTGTAGGCACATTCTCCAAGGTCCTGGTCCTCAGATGCCTTCTCCCTTGGATAAGCACCTTTAGCTTCAGGGGTCACTCATTCACAGCTTTGTTCTTCAGTAAGGGAACCCCCACAACTTCCCACAGTGCAGGCAGCTGGTGACACCCTTGGGAACAACAGCATTCCCCAAACACTTGTGGCAACATCATCATCCCATATCCTGTGCATCTGCTCCACTCACAGCCCTCTGTGGGGTGCACCACCTCTCTTCCAGAGCCACCAGCAGCACTTTGCCCTCCCACAGCAGGTCAGGATGGGGCAGGAGGGGCTCTCCCTGTGTGAGGGTCCAGACCAGAGACACCCTGCAGATGCTTTGGCTCAGCTGCTCTGCTGTGCCAGGGCTTCACCAGAGGGCATGGGTAGCAAATGGGCTTGGTTTAGCTGGCAGGAATGTTTGGGTCCAACCAGAGGAGCTTAGAGTATGCAGACTTTCCTTTTCCCCCCAGGGAGGGCAGCTGGACAGGGGGCTCAGCGCAGGCAGAGCCTGCTGCCCTCACACTTCCTGCTGAAGGTACAGCCACTCCATGCCTGATTTAATCTGGCTGTTTCCTTCTCCCGTGTGGAGGGAGGGCAGCAAACCATCCTTTTCTGCATTGAAAATCGACAAATATCACCTGTATTTATGTGTTATAAAATTCCAGGAAGCTGGCAAGTTTCTAGCCAGGAATTTCTAAGAGGCCCCAGGGTAACTAAATATCCATTTCCCACTAAATTTCAGTCAGATTGAGACACTTAACTCCCTAAAGTCTGTTTGAAAGTCCCAGTCCAAAAGTAATGCAACAATGAATAACAACATAAACTGTACAAGTAAGTTGAAATCAGTTCAGCCTTAACTATCATATATCTAAAGTTTGTATTAATAAAAATATACTTTAACCGAAGTGAGAGCATGCCCTTAGTGTTGGTATTATTCCCAGTTTCCAAAATAAACCCTTGTAGCTGTGGTTTAAAGCAAGCGTGTAGAGATAACAAATTACATTCTAACAGTTTTTCCAGTCCCTTGAAATGCTAGACATACTCACACTAAATGAAAAAATACTCTTTCAACTGTTTTTTATATATTGTGAAATGTTCTGCTTTGTAATTGGTCTTCTTTTATTGTCATTATTCGAAAGCACAGGGTCAAGGTACTGTGATGTTCTGAGGATCTGCTGCAGTGCACAGTGATTATATCTACCTTCTTCTGCTGCAATAGGTATAAAATAAAAGTTTATGATCTCTACCTTACATCACTCTCTTCAACACCACTTTACTTAAATCATGCACAGGGTCAGAATTTAAGATTGCTGAGGGAGAAACATGGACAGAGTTCTATGGTCATCTAAATTAATATTTTTTTAAGTTGTTGCTTCCTTGTCAAAATACCTCAGCAAAAAAAAATTGATCCAATCATTTTCTTAATGGAGATATCACCAATACTCAAAATAACGTCAAAACACAGTTTTTCTAACTTATGGGCTTGCACTCACCACATAATGGCTAAAACTCTCTTTGTACCCCCTGTATTATTCTTGCTGTTAGTACCCACGATATGGATTCTAGTAGAAGAGATGAACAGGCAATTTTGCTGATGATGCATAAAGCAAAATAAAACAAATTGTAATTTTCTATAACTGCAATATATTTGGGTTTGGAATGCTGGCTACTGTGAAAAAAATGATTTGTTTTTACCTTTAATTCTAAATTACTTTTGTTTAGTCGAACTTTCTACACAAAAACCCACCTAACAGGAAATAAAATATTTGCTTTTCTCTTTCCAATAGCTGTTTTATACATTGTAACTTCCATGGCAGTCATGTTTGCCATCATATGATCAAATCTTAATAAGAATGTATTTTTCACCCAATATAGCCCATAAAATCATGGGGGACATACACAGTGGTTATAAGCACTTTGTCAAATGGTTCAAATAGCCTGTGAAAATAGAATGTGTTTGTTAGGAGATTAAAGGGGGCTGTTGGATAATAGTTATCTTTATCTAATAAGGTGAAAGGCTTTGGTGTTGAAAGCATTATTCAAAAAGGTCCATTTGATATTAAAAATCTTAAGATGGGATGCTTGAGAAGAAAATGATAAAGGCTTTTGGATTGCACATAAGAAAAATGAGCATGCTGTAACAAAACAAATAGTTTGCACAGCCACAAGAGAGAGAAAGAG